AAAATACCAAAATGTATATTTTATTTTTTTGTATTAAAAATAAAATAAAATAATATATTAAAATACAATTAAGATTATTTTCTAGAAATTTAAAACGTTTAAGATTATATAGTATTTTTTTTTTTTAATTTTTGTTTAAGCAATTTTTTTAAATACCATTGCATTCTATTGCATTAAATTTAATAAAATTATTTACGCGTATAAGTTAAATAATTTTGTCTGTCTACAATTTCAAATTTTATATTCCATTTCATCAAGCTATAATTACTTGCGCTCCTGCAAGAATCTAATGCGCATCCAAGAATGGAAGGTGCGTGAACTCTTTATAAGAACGAGAGAGTGAAAGAAAACCAACATCGGCTGGTTACTCGACAAGAGAGAGAACACACTGTTACCAAACATAACAACTTTCCGCTAATAAACATCAAACCCATTTTGACGCATACAACATGAATGTAACAAAACCGATGGATTTCTATTTCTCTCGACTTTTACAAATATATATAGTTACAAATATAATAGTTAAATATAATGTGCAACAAAGTTAATTACATTTGAATTTGATACGGCGAATGTTGTTTGATAGTAAAAAGTATATTAAATACTTATCTATGTAAAACGTAAGAGATCATTTATTACAGTTTCGAAGTTTAAGATAATATCGAATCCCAGTGTATTGCCATAGTCCAATTTATATTTCCTACTTTTCGAAATAATCACTGGAAAATTGATATAAAGAGAAGAAAAAGTTCAGAATGTGTCTCGGTGTGTGCAACTACAGTTTAAATGTAGGTGGGGAGAAGAATACAGAAAGAGAGAGAGATCGACAGGTCGTTTACAACAGTGCAACTTTCAGCACGAGAGAGCTCAGTAAGTTCGTGGGCACCGAGCGCGATTCATTCTTCACGAGAACGAATATTGCACTAATCACAAACGATCAAAAGATTAAATTCTGTGAAGTATCAACAGGTATTTCATATTTTGCATAATCTATACTTGTTACAACACTATTCTTGAACAAATATTGTTGATTGAATAATCTTTTTTTCTTTATTCCGAATAAATTATATTCCGAATATAATTTTAATCAAGAAATAAATTGAATTTTTAAAAATCAATGATTT